GAATGCTGCTCTATATTGTGTTCTGTTAAAGAAGTTCAGCTCTGTTTAAGAATGAGGTGTTCTCCTTAAGTATTGGTTGTTTAGGTGTTATTGAGTCTTTGGGTGTTCTGTTAAATAAACGGTGCTGTTCAATTAATGGGTGCTTTGGGTGTTAAAGAATTGAGTCTTTGGGTGTTCTGTTAAAGGGTATATTGTATTTTGTGTTCTGTTAAAGAAGTTCAACTCTGTTTAAGAATTAGGTGTTCTCCTTAAGCATTGGTTGTTTAGGTGTTAAAAAATTGGGTCTTTGGGTTTTTCTGTTAAAATATTGTGTTTGAGTGTTAAATAATTGAGTCTTTGGGTGTTTTGTTATAGTAGGTGCTAAAGAATTGAGGTTTTGGGTATTCCGTTAAAGAATTATGTTCTAAGGGAAGAAAGAAGCTAAGTTGGGTGAGGTAATGGTGCTCCATATTATTTTGCGTTTTTGATATATCTATGCTGATTGAAATATGGTTTTAAGAACAAAAATTATTTCTGCACTAGATTTTAAACTTAATTATTGGTTAGAAAATCATTCAATCTATTCATTCATTTGAACGATGATAATGTACCGGCGTTATTATTGCACACGTATATCAGTATCCTTGGTAGTTAGTATCATTATGATGATATTGATAATAATAATGGTAGAAATGATGAAGAAAAATAATGAAAATAATGATATTAAAAATGATAATATGATGATAGTAATGATAACAATAATAATGATAATGATAACGATACTAATTATAATGATAATGATACTAGTAACAATGATAATAATAATAATAATAATGATAATAATAATAATAACGAGAATAGTAATTATTACTTTAAAAACAACAATACTAATAATGTTAATACCGATATGATGATGATTATAACAATATTAATAATGATAGTAATAATGATTATGATAATGATAGTATTAATAAAAATAAATTTGTTAGAGATGATGATGATAATAATAGTAATAATGATAATAATGATAATAATAATAATGATAATAATAATAAAAAAAATAATGATAGTGATGATAGTAATGACAACTATGATAATAATAACGATAAGATGATGATAATAATAATGATAATAGTAAAATGATAATGAAAATAATCCTGATAATAAAAACGCCATGAATAATGATAATGATAATGAAAATAACAATGATAATGATAACAATAATGCTGCTGCTGAGGTCGATAATAAGAATGGTAATGATGATAATGAAAGTCATGATTTTAATAATATCAACTACTACTAACAATTCTATTGATAATGATGACGATGATGATAATAATAGTGACGTTTATGATGATAATGATGATGATGATAATAGTAAAATTGTTGATACTGATATCAAAAATGAAGAAAAAAATAATGGTAATGATAATAATGGTAAAAGGTATGGGTAATGATATAGCAAGAGCAGTTTTAAAATTAGTTTTAATAATAGTAATAACAATAAAAGTGATAGCAATGATAATGATAATCATTAAGATATTAATGATAATGAGAATGATAAAGGAACAACAGCAATAAAAACAATAACGAAACATGTAAACAATAATGATACAAATAAAAGTAAGTCAATAATGAAGATGAATATAGTTTTCAATATTACTAGTAATAATAACAGCAGTAATAGGGATTATAGGAAATAGATTATTACTCTTAGTATCATCATAGGCTGCAAATCGAACGTAACAATTGATTCCCAGTTTTAAAAACTTGTTTCAAAGTGTAGTAAAATACTTTTGATTATCAATTTGTAACCACCAAACCAGCTTAAATAAATATGTTGACGACCATTCAAGTTTGCAGTACATTTTTTTTCACTTGGTCAAAGCATAATTTGTAAAAAAAAAAAAAAAAAAAAAAAAAAAAAAAAAAAAAAAAATGTTAGTACGAAGCATTTCTTGTCGTAAACAAATTGTTGCAGAAACAAGTTCTCTGAATGGAAAAGAGAGTATTGAACCTGCATTCGAACGACATAACTTGTATATAATTAGTCTACAAGTCGAAAATCTATGCTTCTAGTGATGATAAAAGATATTTATACACACACACACACAACACACACACACACACACACACACACACACACACACACACACACACACACACATACACATATATATATATATATATAATATATATATATATATATATATATACATATATAATATATACATACATATGTATATATATATATATATATATATATATATATATATATATATATATATATATATATATATATATATATATATATATACACACACACACACACACACATGTATATATACACATACATGTATACATTATAATTATATATATATATATAATATATATATATTATATATATATATATATATACATATCCATACATACATACATACATACATCTCTCTCTCTCTCTCTCTCCTCTCTCTCTCTCTCTCTCTCTCTCTCTCTCTCTCTCTCTCTCATAATATATATA